TTCCCAAGGAGTGGCTGGTGAGCTTGAACCGCCGACCTTGGAGTTCAAACAGCTTTGCAGTCAGTCACTACAAAATGATTTTTAAAGCAATTTAAATACATACTCGGCATACTAAAACCCTAACTCTTGTTTTTAATGACAGTTTCTCTAGCATCTCTGCATAGTTTTGGGTGTTCTATTATTCAAACAATAACAACTATTGGAACTTAAAAAATATATATATATATATATGACTCTGTATGTACACACACACATATATATGTAGTTGTTAAGTGCTGTTGAGTCACTTCTGACTCATAGTGACCCTATATAGGGTTTCCAAGGAGTTTGTGTGTTTGAACCTCCAATCTTATAGTTCAAACCAACCTTGCAGTTCAGTGCATCAACCCACAGCGCCACACCAGGACTCTCTCTCTATATATATATTTAAGAAAAAACCCACCATGTTTAAAATGTAAAAGCATGTTAACAAGGGTAAAGCTGTACTTAGTAGATGTGTGGCTCTGTCTTTTTGATACCACTGCTCCTAAGTCTTGAAAATGCTGGAGACACGTCTAGATTCCTAAAGACATGTCTTGATTCTTAAACACATTTCCAGAGTTCAGGGGAAGGAGGTGGAACTTAATCCTCAGAAGCGGTTTACCCTGCCTTTGAGGGTCTACAGACTGAAGGGGGAAACCCATTTGCCTCCTACCTAAGTCCACTTTCATCCCATCTAATAGTCTTTTTAAACCTAAAAGGTATACATCAAAAATTAACTCACGTTTAATGTCATGATGAATTACTTTTTTTGAATGCAGAAAATCCAGTCCTTTGAGAACATGCTTGGTCACCCAAATAATTTCAAATTCTCTCATCGGTCCGCAGCTCTCCAGCTTCTCCAGAACAGACCCTCCCTCGCCGGCTTCCATAAAGAGATGGACAGTTTCACCCCAAAGCACTGCGCCGTAGAGCTCAGCGATGTTCTCGTGCCGGAAACAGGCTTGGATTTCAACATCTGAAGGCTTAAATTGATCTACTGGAATCTAGAACAAAAATATGATACAGACTCTAGACAACCTCAAGGTCATGAAAAAATACAAAATGAAGATCAACACACAAATCAGATGACAAATCAGTGCCCGCAAGTATCCTCCTACTGCTGATGTAAAACTGTATTGCAGATGTTTAATGTTCACCTCAGACCTGTCTTTACATCACATCAGCTATAGGTATGAAATTTAAAAAAATTCAGGAAAAAATGAAATGTTCTTTTTACAGTATAGAAATCCAGCCAAGTTTTAAAAAGTTACTCATGATAGAATCAAGAGAGATTATTGTCTACCTATTATGGACAGAGTTCCTAGCTCGTATTTTCAATATTTCGACTTGTAAGGAGACAATACAAAGTCTGGTTCCACAGTGAAGGATTGAACAATGCAGCATTTTAAATAAGGACTGGCCATCCATACCACGGAGTACCAGACACCTATCATTAAAGACAGAAATGGGTCTTTAAGTGCTGATAGGTGAAGATGCAAAAGTACATAGTGCATGTTCCTATTTGTAAAAAATAATAATTAAAAATATATGAATGTGTATGGTCAGAAATTTTCTTGAAGGATCCATGTTGTTCTTGTTAAATGCTGTCAAATCAGTTCTGACTCAAAGAAACTCTGTATAGAGTTTCCGAGGAGCCACTGGTGGGTTTGAACCACCAACCTTGGTGTTCAAACTGACCTTGTGGTCTAGTGCATTATCCTGCAGAACCACATAAGAAACCATTAATGGTAGTCAGGGTCAGATGACCCAATGAGCAAGGTAAGCACAGGCTTACTTGTGCTTACTTACTAATCCGTACTGAACAATGTCACATTTTTTTCACTACATCAAGGATTGTGCTTCTAGTTACAGCTGCCATCTGTCTCTCTCCCAACCCCACAGCACCTTCCTACAGAATCGAAGCCTCTTTTCAAATGTCCAGTTCCTGACAGGGAGGGATTGCCCTGTAAACAAGGCAAATAGGGGCTGGCTTGTGTTAATTTACTAATCTGTAGTAAACAATTTCACACAGGTTTCACCATATCATTTTGAACCTGTTCTGGGTTGTTTTTGTTTTAATCATCTATACGTTTTTCGTTCTTAAGACAAAAAATATTACTTAAAAATGAAATATATCCGTCAACAGATAAATGTATAAACAAAATGTGGTATGTACAAACAATGGACTACTCTGCAGACATAAAGAGAAATGATTCATGCGGCATCGTGGATAAACTTTGAAAACATGCTCAGAGCAATGAGCCAGGCACAAAGGACAGATACTGTGCCATCCCACTTAGATAAAACATTGAAGATAAGCAAGCCCACTGAAATAAGAGATTAGTGGTTATCAGCAGCTGGGAAGCTCGGAGAATGAGGAGTTGAAGGGAGTAGAGGGGAGGGAGTGGGAAATAGGAATTATTTCATTTTTCATAGAAAAAAATAATCCACCAAATGATAAGATGATACAGATTCATTTCTGAATTTAAATCTGTAGCAACAAAATTGGTACTAAGATACGAAGAAACCAGTTTAGCAAGAAGGCCCTTAATGAATAGTAGACAAAGGCTCTTAATGAACAGTAGACAAAGGTGCCTAATTGTTTTAAAAGATGAAATTCTCAACCCTTATTTCCTAGTGTCTTCCAAGATAATTCACTTGTTATTAAAGTTTTGTATATGGTCTCACGCAGCCAAGGAAAGTATACTTGAATATATCCAAAAAATTAAAATACACGTACAAGGAAAACAATGCACAAAACAAGTGTCCACAGACTATTTTGGTAAAACCGAAAAGATGGGACACTTGTTGTTGTTGTGCCATTGAGTCTGTTCCGACCCATAGTGACCCTCTATAGGGTTCCCAAGGAGTGGCTGGTGAGCTTGAACCGCCGACCTTGGAGTTCAAACAGCTTTGCAGTCAGTCACTACAAAATGATTTTTAAAGCAATTTAAATACATACTCGGCATACTAAAACCCTAACTCTTGTTTTTAATGACAGTTTCTCTAGCAAAAATTTTATGAAAGAATAAATGAGATCAGCTTACTGTTGCTTTCTTAATTATGAGTGAACTGTGATATTTAGCCATCATTTTGTTTTGTTTTAAATCAAAAGTGGATTTACTTTTATTGCACTCTAAAAAATTTAATTGAAGTAAAGCAGACATGTTGTTGTTGTTGTTGTTGTTAAATGCCACGTAGTCATTTCGGACTCATAGCGACCCTGCATAGGGTTTCCGAGGAGCGGCTGGTGAGTTTGAACCACTGACCATGTAGTTAACAGTCCAGTGTTTATCCTACAGAACCACACCAGACAAACACAAAAGCATAGAAATGCTATGAATTATTAACTGAAACACTTATGCAATCACTACCTAGATTATCTACAAGAAGCAGAACTGTATCTGTGCCAAAGAAACCCTTCTTGACATCTTCTGTCACCACGAATCAAGGGTGCCCACTATCCTGACTTCTCATAGCAAGAATCTGTTTTGGCTAGACCATAGAAGAATTCATGCTTTTGAGTTATGGTGTTGGAATACTGAATACTGAAAGTGCCATGGGCTGCCAAAAGAAACAACAGATCCATGTTGGAAGAAGTGCAGCCAGAGTGCTCCTTGGAGGCCATGATGGCCAAACTTCGTCTCTCATGCTTCGGACATATTGTTAGGAGGGACCAGTCACTGGAGAAGGATATCATGTTTGGTAAGGTGGAGGGTCAGAGAAAAAGAGGAAGATCCCCCAACGAGATGGATTGGCCAAGTGGCAGCATCGATGGACTCAAGCGTGGCAACAGTAGTGAGGTTGGCCCAGGAACGGGAAGTGTTTTGTTCTGCTGTGCATCAGGTTGCTACGAATTGGTACCGACTCGATGGCACCTAACAACAACAACATTATGGTACTTTATACATACGAAATCCTACAATTGGTCCTATTTTGTGCCTGGTTTCTTTGGCTCATCATAATAGTTATTCATCTGTATTATTAGAGTTGTAAATTTCTCTTTCTCTTGGCTATACTGTATTCCATCACATAAATACACCAGCATTTCAGCATTTGGGTGTCCCCAGTTGGAACGATTACACATAGTGTTGCTATGAGCATTCTAGTGCATCCCAATCCCACCCCATCATTGAGTTGAGGCCGACTCATAATGACCATGTAGGATAGTAAAAGAACTGCACCGTAGGGTTTCCAATGCTGTAAATCTTTTTATTTGCTTTTTTTAAAATTACATTTTATTTATTTTCTTGTTGAGAAGCGACACAGCAAAACATACATCATTTCAACAGCTACTACATGTATATTTCAGTGACATTGATTACCCTTTTTGAGTTGGTGCAACCATTCTCTCCCTCCTTTTCTGAGTCCGTTCCTTCCACATTAACATCAGCTCACTGCCATGACCTAAGGTTCCTATCTAGTCTTTTGAATTGCTGCTGTCAATGTGAGCTCATATACATAGCTCTTTTTATTATTATTATTAGTTAAGCTAAGCTATTATACATAGCTTTTTTATTACTATTATTAGTTAAGCTAAACTATTGCTTAGTTTTAAGAAGGCTTCAGGTGTCAATTTTGGTTTAATGTTTAAGGATTATCTCAAGCCAATTCATCTACCCACCATGACTCCAGAAAGTATAGAGTTCATGAGATTTTGAAACGCTTTTCTGTATTTTCTTCCTTTTGATCAGGATTTTCCCATTGACTCTATGATCAAAATATTCATGGATTCATGGCTGCAAATCTTTTATAGAAGCTGATTGCCACATCTTTCTTCCTAGGAACAGCTGGTGGATTTCAGCAGCCAACCAGACAGTTAGTGGCTAAGTGCTTAACCACTGTATCATCAGGACTCCCTATTTTTGTACATAGCTTTTGGTGACTATGTGCACACAATTCTTGTGAATATGTATGTTCATTTTGTAAAATACTGACAAATAGTTTTCCACAGTAGGGGTATCTTAGCAATAATTTTTAATAAGAAGAGATGTATTTATTTCAGTAATTGGTCTATGTAAATTTATCCCTTTAAATCTGTAGTAAATTCCTTGAAACCTTCTCTCCAGTTGTTAAGTGCTGGCGAGTCAGTTCCGACTCATATTGACCCTACATAGGGTTTCCAAGGAGCGGCTGGTGAGCTTAAGCCACCAACCTTGCAGTTCAAATGACTTTGCAGTCTGCTGCATTAACGCACAGAGCCACACCAGGACTAGCACATAAATATGCTCTTGTGTTCAGTGATAGCTCTCCACCCAGCAGGGGTGACATCATCCAAAATGGTGCTAAATAAACTGCTGTTAAGAGTCACTGAGTCAGTTCCCACTCATAGTGACCCCTCTATAGGCTTCCTGAGGAGAGGGTAGTAGGCTTCAACTTTCGACCTTGTGGTTCAAATCAACTTTGTGACCCAATGCTTATCCTGTTGTTGTTGTTGTTAAGCGCCATCGAGTTAGTTCTGACTCATAGTGACCCTATATGGGGTTTCTGACGAGTGGCTGGTGAACTTGAACTGCCAACCTTGCAGTTCAAACCGACCTTGCAGGCCAGCGCATTCACCTGCAGAGCCACACCAGGAAGCCAGTGCTCATTCTACAGTGTCACAATTTTTTTTTTTATCACGGTTGAGCTAAGTTAAAATCAACCATGCACAGAAGCAGACTTCGGGGCAGAATGGAAGCTCAACAAAATGGGTTTTGTGTTGTTGTTAATGGCTTAGCTGCAACCAAAAGATTGGAGGTTGGAATTCACCCAGCGGCACCTCCTAAGATAGGGCTGGTGATCTCCTTCCAAACAATCATCCACTGACCACCCTATGGAGCCTAATTCTACATGGGGTCACCATGAGTAGAAATCAACCTGAGGGTAAATGATTACTGCTTAGGTAACAAATAAATCCATGAAAACAAATGTCTTTGTATAAGACACTCTTAGATAAGTTCCAGTCCAAGGATAACAACCCTGGTTTAATGCAAGTAAACAAACAAGCAAAAGCTACAGTCTCAACGATTCAGTGCGCATTTCGTCATGAAGTACGTACCAGTTTACACGCCATTCTTTTCTTCGTCTTCATATCCTGTGCTAAGTACACTTTTCCAAAGGCCCCCCGGGGAATGAAATCAGAGCCAATGTTCCTGTAAGTCAACTTCCAAGGAATGAGAAGTACATCAGAGTCGATCTGATAGCGTCCGTTTTGGGGGGTGATGACCTAGAACAAAATTCAAATTGGAGAGGGTGAGAATCTCAGCCAAGTTGTCATTTTCTAACACCGACACACTGGAAATGGATTATTTTAGATGCATTTCTATATGAAGTATTCGAAATAAATGCCACTGTGTATTACAACACTGCCCAAAAGAATTCCAAACCCACTGCTGTTGAGTTGATTTCCACTCATGGTTTCCCTATAGACAGAGGAGAACTCCCCAAAGGATTTTCAAGATTGTCAGGTCTACCGAAGCAGACTGCCACAGCTTCTCCCCTGCAGCAGCTGGTGGGTTACAACTGCCGACTTTTAAGTGGGCACCAGGGTCCCTCCTGAAAACACTGCATACAGCTTCAGCAAGACAGAGAAGTGAGTCACAGAAACAGGTCTGTGGCCAGACCTTAGCAGATTTCCAGCTCCCAGTGAGAAATTAATTGCCAAATAGAACTTTATAAGTGATATATCTGAGGAGTAAGACTGCTGTGATGGAAATGCTAAAAATAAAGATTGCGTAAATATAAACTATGCCTGCACGTTGCTTTGTTTCTAATTAAAATGTGCTAACTAGTCAAGCCACATAGCTATTACTCATACATGATACAGACACCGAACTTGCAAACTAACTGGTGATCATAGGGGGTTCTGGGAAATGATGTATTATGCTGGAGCTATGGGCTGACAATGCTGTATAAATGCAGTAAGGGGAATTATTTTTCATCTACGTGCTCGTTTGGCATTTACTGAGTTCATAATATGTGCTGGGCATGGCGTTTAATGCTAAGGAGACAGCCATGAAATGAACAAGGTATAGCTGATCCCTGACCAAGGACTCAGGGAGAAGGAAACACTTCCAAAACTAGCCCATGTCACTGTTTAAAGAGATGTAAGTGCCCAGTGTGGTGCTGTAGGATAAGCACCAGATTGCTAGTCACAAGGTCGGGAGTCCAAACCCACCAGCTAATCCACAGGAGGAAGATGAGACTTTCTGCCTATGTAAAGATTTATAGCCTTGGAAACCCTATACAGGGTCGCTATGAATCAGAATTGACTCAGGATTTGCTTTTTTGTTTTTTCTATCACGATAGTAACGCAAGTTGTGAGGAGGTGAGAGTTTGTCAAAACTCATCGATGTGTGTATTTAAACTGAATCTCAATTTTTAAAGAGGGAAAAAAACGTAAAAGAGAAATTACGGCTAAAATTTTAAAACAGATTAGTAAGGTAAATCAGGTGTGTTCAAGTTCATCCCAACTCAAGGCGCAAAACTGTGCTCCATGGAGTTCTCACGGCTGCGACCTTTCAGAGGTAGGTTGCCAGGTCTTTCTTTTGCAACACCTCTGGGTGGATTCGAATTGACAACCTTACAAGGAGCAGGTGAGAGCTTAACTATGTGCCCCACCCAGGGACTCCTGATTACTATGGTAGTCCACAGAATGTATGACTAGAAGCCCGTGACTAAAAAAGGTTTAAACTGTTCTTTCAAGGGACAAAGAATTTCCAAAAACCCAGTTTTGCCTAAATGTAATTAGTAATATTTTGGCTTCAGACTATGCCAAGCATTTGAAACCACCAAAGTGACATGAAATTATTTCAAGTACAGAAGAAGCTCACGGGGGGAGGTGACAAATTCCCACATCTAGCACAGGAGAGAGGAAGGAACATTGGATTTGTCCACAGATGCATCAGAGGATTCACTCTAGCCACTGCTGTGGGTATATTTCCAGTACCCAGAGGGTTTTTCATTCAGTCATCTTTACAGCTAATTTTAACTACTCATCCGCAAACAGATGTGCTCACTTAGTCAGAGTCTGAGGCAGAGAATCAGTCATAGACTTATAAGTACAGAGTCATTCAGTTAAGACATTAAATAATTATTGTGCTCTTCCAGGGCCCTAGAGGAAGTGGGCATACAGACCATGGTCTTGCCTTGTTTGAAATAAGTCCTCATTTCAAGAAATGTAGCTTCTCTGGTACCTGGAGGCATCTTTTTGCACCATGCTAAGAACAAGTGAATGGACTGTATTTCCATATTTCAACTGAACCAGAATTACTGCGCTCAGTCACACTGCTTCTTTACTAAATATGTGTTGTTGTTAAGTGCCGTCGAGTCGGTTCCGACCCACAGCGACCCTCTTACTAAACATATACATTCACAATTTCATTATACTTTCCAGTTTTTCACTGCCGTGTTTTTAATAGAAACTTCAGGAAAGTTTTACTTTTGTCCACCCGCAGTTCCCCAATTGATGCTGTAACCTCTTAACTCTGTCCAGGAGCCATGCTAATTAGGGGCCAGACACTGTGGTCTGGATCTTAACACATTAGCTTTTCAAAAAGTCTCACAGCAGTCCCTGTGAGGTAACTACTGCTTATCTTCATTTTACAGATGAGGAAACTGACACCAAGACTTTAAGCAATGTGCTAGTGACCAAGGCAGAATTACAACTCAGGATTCTGTCTCCAAAGTTAGTCCTCCTTTCTCTGGGCACCTTTTATCTTCTAGAAAACTGTAATGGAAGCTGAAGTAGAATCCAAACCCAGTTATTAGAAGCCTACACATACATGTCATGGAAGGAGCCCTGGTGGCACAGGGGTTAAGCACTAGGCTGTAACTGAAAGGCTGGAGGTTCTAACCCACCCGTCACTCCATGGGAAATAAGAACTTGCAATCTGCTCCCGTAAAGATTTCAGCCTAGAAATCCTTATGGGGCAGTTCACTCTAGTCTGTTGTGTAGGGTCTCTATGAGATGGAACTGATCAGATGTCACACAAAACAAACCTTTCACTGTGTTCACCTTAGCCTTTTCTTCCTTAGGTTATACTGAAAACTTGAACGCCTTTCTATACCTCTTTCTCACTCAGGGGCATCTCTTCGGAATGTCCTGCCAAGTTTTCTGTGGCAACCTTTCATGACAGACCCAGGAACTACACTGGGATATGTGAATCCTGATCCAGGTACAGCTCTGCACACTCCCCAATTCTTCCCCTAATCTTGTTGCTAGTTACTTTTGAGCTGATTTGTGGGCATCCTGGCCCTCTTTGGGTTTGGGATCATTTTTGTTCGTTCTAAGGGCCCAACTAAATCATCGTATGGACTTCTATGTTGATTTCTGCCAGCTTCTTCAATTTCTGAAAATCATCTTTCACTGCAGATATGACGTGCACGCTTTTGGTTTCCTCATCTAAATTACTTCTGGTATGGTGCTGTGGGTTAGTGCGCTGGACTGCAAAGTCAGTTTGAACTGCAAGGTCAGCAGTTCAAGCTCATCAGCCGCTCCTTGGAAACCCTACACAGGGTCACTATGAGTTGGAACTGACTGGGTGGTACTTAACAACAACAATAACAACAACAACAACATAGTAAACAATACTGGGCCCAGGAGCAGTGTGTGAGAAAAAAACCTTAGGTACTTTAGGAAGAAGTTAGCTAAGTTACCTGCATGTGATGGCTGGTATGAAATTGAGGTGACCTTGGGCTTTCATTATCTGCAACAAAGGTAAGGCTAGCTGTGTCCTGCTCTGCTGCCATCTTCCAGGTCTGTGCATTAGCACAGGCCTGAGTGTAGAGGATACCACACAGATAACAGGGAGGTTACCTGTGCCATATAGGAGGAGCGGACACAATTCATATGTTTGTAAAAGAAGAGAGAACATCTTGGGTACATGAGGTTTTTTTAAATAGTGGAAGGGCTCTTATGAGGAAGGGGAGCACCAATAGAATATGACAACTACTGACATGATCAGTGGCAAATATTACAGGTAAGTCGGTCACATTTATGCATCCATTATTCCTATGAAATCAGTGGCATGAAGCTACCTATTTTATTTTATAGACAAGTAAACTGAGGTAGGTATGTTGTTGTTAAATGCTGTCAACTCGGTTCTGACTCATAGTGACCCTGTGTAGGGTTTCTGAGGAGCGGCTGGTGAGTTTGATCGGCTGACCGTGTGGTTCAGATTGACTTTGCAGTCCAGTGCATTATCCCACAGCACCACACCAGGAATCCAAACACTAAGGTAAAAATGAAACCACCAGCCCAAATTAATCCCTCTCAGAGGTGAAATACATGTCTAGACATTTTAACTCACAGACCTGTAATTTTAACCACTACTTACTGTACATACCTTTTAAGACCCCAAAGTAGAGATAGTATTAAGAAGAATTGGACACATTTAAGTTTCATGTATGGAAGAACTTTCTTATAGTCAATATTGGCTTAATTATGAAATTATGTGCCCGGTGTATAACGAGCTCCTCGTCCCAGATGTTTAAGCCCCACCAATAATAGGCCCTTTGAAGGCAGCTGGTTCTTTCTTTAGTTTCCCTCAAACCCGTTTGAGGTTATTTGTCCCCAGACCAGGTTATGAAGCAGACTAGGATATAAATAACTTAAGGAACTCTAAGTGTTCTAATGTTTCTTTTCCAGGCCTTGCTGTACGTTGGTGGACTCTTTAATAATGCATACATACAGAGAAACTACCATTCACCATGCCTCTGCTTTGGGATATTTTTGTCATTCCTGGCCCTCCACCCTGTTTAATTAACCTTCTGGACATTGTAGGTGATGGTTACCCAGGACACATCATGCTCACTATACCTCCGGGCCCTTACACGTGACATCCCCTTCATCTGGAGACCTCCTCACTCTCCACTCCTTTCATCTGACTTTTACCTCAATGCTTCAGGCCTCAGCTTAGGTCTTTGCCATTTCTCTAGGAAGTCACTGCAAACACTATCCCTTCCTCTTCCTTACTCTGGAGGCTGTGTTAGGTATCCAGTCTGAACGTTCCCATAGCAACCAGGGCGTAGTTCATACCACACTTCATTACTGTAATTGCCTGTCCACTGGCCTCCTACATTAAGTCACCAAGCAGTAACTCCAAAGGGACATTGCACCTCATACATTATGGCTGTTAGAAATGTGTAGCAAATGAATAGATGAAAACTTGAATGATGATTTTCCATCACTGGGTACATGTACTTCCTAGTTTGGGACAATCAGTTTGGTAAACGATTAGCAGGTCATTTTGTAAAGGAGAGACAGAGTGGAAAATGTAACCCAAAACAGAAAGGTTTCGATAGGGTAGCGGGTGATGGATGGTAAGAGAGAAAAATACTGAACACAGGATGGCTCTGTTGAGAGCGCAGTCATATGAGGAAAGGCACTGAGAAAAAGGGTGGACGTGAGACAAGAGCCAACCGTGCTTCCTTCACCATTTTTGTCTCACAGTAGCCATCATTGGGGATGGAAAGTCATGACTTCTGTACTTTTCTTACTGAAACACAGGTTACTAAGGGACATAGGAATAGAGAGGACCTTTAAGGTCAGTGAGAGCAAATTCCACCCTGGATTGATTTCTCTTAGGGAGGCAAATTCTACTCTCTGTGGATTTGAAGGGGCTCTTTGTATTTTGTTTTTAAGTCTTGCTGGATCATCTTGATCTTTTAAAAAATAAGGATCTTTTCTCCCTGCCTTTATAATATGACCTATTCTTAAACTTTCTTAGACACCCTGTTTGTTTAGAAAGCACAGGCACTTGGGCAGTGCAGACATTTCACTCTTACCCTTTGCTTCTGATAAAGTTTTCAATGTCTTAGTTTCTCTCCTTTTCTGCATTAGCCTTTGGGGTCTCACTTCTGAAACTTCAGATAGCTATTGCTTTTCATTCCTTATAATTTTGGAAGTAGACAACCAGACCTTTCTTCCCAGGTACCTCTGGTTAGACTTGAACCTCCAAGGTTCTGGTTAGCAGCTGAACATATTAATTGTACCCCACCCAGGGACTCCTTATTTCCCACTATGTTGTGGTTGTTCTTCATAAGTGCCGCCAAGTCAGTTCTGACTCATAGCGACCCTGTAGAGGGACTCCAAGGAGCAGCTGGTGGGTTTGAACTGGTGACCTTGTGGTTTGCAGTCCAGTGCTGTTCTACTGCGCCACACCAGGTGCCCGTTTCCCATTATATACACACATTATTTGGGGCCAAAGTTACCTTGTTATCCTTTAGTTATACAATCATTGTTGTATGAAGATTGTTCCCTGTTCAAACGATTACTTCTTGTGCATAAGAGGAAGTAGTAATCCCAAGTTAAAGTCTTTAGCCAACTATTAAACACTTTACTATAACCATACCAGAGCAAATCATACAATTGCGCAAATAGAATCTTGCTCCATATTGATCTATAGCTGAATACAACCGGCTTTTAACAAAACAAACAATTTACTGCAGAGCTGACCTAAATTGTTACGGTGTTGCCCTTAATTACCTAAATGAATGTGGTATGCAGAAAACAAACGAATTAAGTACTGAATGTGTTCAAACGCTCTGCTTTTTCAGAGCTGGCCTTGCCCTGCAGCTGTCACTCAGAAACATACAAGAGGATGAAGTCACTTTCATCAATAAGTACTTTTGCAAGTTACCACCTACTCCTTTGTAAATTATTCTTTTATAAAAAAAAAAAATCAGATCAAATTTAGCCAACACCTACGGTTTACCTTTGACATATTAAGAACCTGACCCAGTCCCAGACACACCTAAACAAATCACCTGATCTATTTTTGTGACAACAAGTGTTGCCACAATATTTGGGATTGTTTGCATACTCGGAATGGTTAAGCATTTGCCATTCAAACTTTGTCAATTAAAGAGAGTGAATCTGTACATAGCTATTTGCTGCCTACAAACAACATTTCTACAAGAAACAAATTTACCCATGATCATTTTCAGAGAGCAAAGAGAGGAAGTATAGAATTCAGCCTTCAGAATGATCAACTAGGGATACAAGGATTCTTGTGAAGCCTTGCTCCTCAGCATCAAGGATAAACAGACTTTTTAGTGAACTGTTAAGTCAAAATGCATTCTTCTTAATTACCTATTTATAGAACTACCACGAAAATATGGTCACTATTTTTCAACAGAATTTCTAATGAAGACCTTCTCTTGAGTCTTTAGCATGGAGGTCATTCTTTCATATATTACATTGTTTAAAATCATACTCAGCAGCCGGCCCAAACCACATTCCAATCCGTTAAATGGAGCTGCTGCTGTATGTGAACCACAAGGTTGGCAGTTCAAACCCACCAGCTCCTCCTTGGAAACCCCACACAGGATCGCTATGAGTCAGAATGGACTCGACAGCACTTAGTAACAAAACAAACAAAAAATACTCAACTGATCAGAAAACCACATACCATATTTAATAAAATTCCAGATTCTTGCGGTCGATGTCCATAAAAACGCTTAGAGGTATTGGATATGTGGTTTGCAAAAGCAAGCAAATCGTCCACCGTGCCGTATCTGACCGATGATAACCAAGGCACCTCTTGGCCACTGAGCAGTAGAGACTCGGATCGTTCCTCATTTTGATTATCATCCTGACACATGGTCATTAGACTGGGATCATAAACAGCTGCTTCTTCACTTGCATAAAGATTTTCCATAATGTCTATTACATCGGACACATTTAAATGTTTAATTAGCAACTCAATTTCTTCTTTATTGTCACTGCCAGTACTCATGTACTCCATTACTGTTGCAGTATCGCCAGAGTCTGTAAAGGAAGAACACAAATATTTTTTTGACTGTTTTGCTCCGTTCTAGGATTAAGACCCACTGGAAACTGAAAGGAAAGGATTACGAAAAGGCTTCCATAAGCCTTGGCTTGTGAGGGCTTTGTGTCAACTAAACCCACTGCCATCAAGTGGATTCTGACTCATAGCGACCCCAGGTAGGGTTTCCAAGACTATAATATTTACGGGAGGAGACAGCCTCACCTTTCTCTCAGAAAGTGACTAAAGGGTTTGAACCGCCAACCTTGAGGATAGCAGCCTAATGTCTAACCCACAACACTAGCAGCAAGTGTACATTCTAGTTCAAAGGGCTCTGAGATAAACTGTGCTCCAAGCTGCTTGTTTGCAGTGAAACCTGAGCCCTGGAGAATGTACTCACTACTGACTAAGTCTAGCTATAGCCACTGAAAACAAACTTTCACCGAATGTACACACGAAAAGCAGTTTAGGAAGCTTTGAAGAGCAAAGGCCCTTTACAGTTTCCTGACCTTTGTAACCCTGCTGCTCCCCATGGGCAGCCGGCTTCCCCTTCAAGGGGGTCACAAGGCTTTTAAGCTTGCTGTTGTTAAGTGCTCTGGAGTCAATTCCCATAGTGACCCTGTATACGATTTCCTAAGATAGGAGCAGCTGGTGGGTTTGAACCATCAACCTTGAGGTTAGCAGTCCAGTGCTGATTCTGCAGTAACACTTTAAAGAAAAAGAACCACTTCGCTAAATTTAGTAGCTACATTGGCAAATAAAATTCCTGAGGTCAGAAGCATGTAAAATGGGTTTTAACCTCTAAGAATACTTCATGAGAGTCAAGTTGCAGGAACCACTCTAATGCTAATGAGATACACAGCAAATCTCAAATCCTAGCTTTGCCAGTGCTCAGTATGAGATCTGAGATGATTCCATTAACCTGTGTAACCAGAATCTTCAAGAACACGAAGGTAACATTTAGAAGGTCCAAAGGGGTTAATTTAATACCTAGGTATATGAGCCTGTAGAAGTTGTAATAGCAGAGATACAAGGAAAGCCAAATCTATCATTGTTGTTGTTATTAAGTGCCCTTGAGTCAGTTCCGACTCATAACAACCCTGTATAGGGTTTCCAAGGAGCGGCTGGTGAGCTTGAACCGCTGGCCTTGTGGTTCAAACTAACCTTGCGGTCCAGTGCTTTATCCCACAGCGTCAATCATAACAAAACCTAAAAAAAAAAAAAAAAAAAATCAAACACACTGCCATCAAGTCCATCCCAACCATAGACCTTATATAGCGTTTCTAAGACCGTAAATATTTATGGAATCAGACTGCCTTTGCTTTTTCTCAAGAAGCAACTGGTGGGTTTGAACCACTGACCTTTCAGTTAGCCCAAAGCCTAACCCACAGTACCACCAGGGTTTTTAAAACAAGTCCTGGGTAAGTCCAACTAGTTATATTAACTTGTATAATATTTCCATTTTTATATCAAATGAGGTGTCACACTTGGGAATCTGTAAATGAGAGAAAAAAAAAAAGCTAAAGCAAAGACTTTAGAACAATTCCATTTAAAGGAGAATCTACTTTCAAAGCCTGTTTTTCTACTCAAAACACAGTGCTCCTGAAGGCCTAGCCTCTCTCTGAAAGGTACTTGACATTCTTAAAATCACAAGCTCTTAACACATAACACTCAGCTCCAAAGTCCACGACTCTCTGAGCAACCAGGCGACTTGGTTCCATGGAATGCACCTCCTAGGGGCCGACCCAGTGAATTTCATTTGATGAAAGCACCACACAAGTCAGAACAACACTCACTTGCTTTCTGGTCATTTTCAGACACAAAAACCATGGCCAAGCTAACATCCTGGTTTAGAGTACTGGCTTGGAAGCCAGCTTGTTGTTGTTAAGTGCCATCGAGTTGTAGCCAACTCCATTCTGACCCCGCATAGGGTTTCCAAGGAGCAGCTGGTGAGCTTGAACCACCGACATTGCAGTTCAAATGACTTTGCAGTCTGACATATTAGCCCACAGAGCCACATCAGGACTCAAACTGGCTGGGATTAAATCAATATCTCTAGCTCTCTGTAGTCGATTGTCTGATTCGTAGAATAGAAGCAGTAACAGTATCTACCTCACAGAGGTTATGAGGAGTAAATTAGGTCACGTGCATATGGTGCATAGAAATGAGCTGGATAACTAGTAGCTGCTATTATATGCCTAAGGAGTCTCTGGGTGGCACAAAAGTTAAAAACTAAACTATAGGCTGAAAATTTGGTATTGGAACCTACCCAGAGGCACCTTAGAAGAAAGGACTGGTGCTCTGCTCCTGAAAGATTACAGCCAAGAAAACCCCATGGCAACTAACAACTAACAACTGCTGGCTTTGCAAATGCTGATTGCATTAGGTGTCCTGCCTTATCTACAAATGGATTGTGGCTCTGTATTCCCCCAGCTTCTTCAGAGTGAGGTTTTACAGATTAGATCTAAAACAAGAGACCAAGAAAAAAAGAAAAGGCAGACAGAAGCCTATGAAATGCTTTGAGGGCTGTTATCATTACTATTGTATCTAAACAGTGAGCTGTCATTCCGGCTTGTGGGAGTCTGTCTAGTTATGAGAGGAACTTGTTGGGTTAATGGAAGAATGTTGTTAGACTTTGGTTTCCGCAAGGCCTTTAGTTGCATTTTCTGCTCCTAGAATATAGACTGGAAAAAACCAGAAGTCAAAAAAAAAGGTTTAATTTAGAACCCTAATGGCTGACGAGATCCAAGGCTCCTCGACTTCACTTGTCAAATGGATAACTTGAGAAAAAATAAAGTTCCCTGCACTAACAAGACAGAAGAAAGAAAGGAAACATTCCATTCAGTCAGCTGATCAAGAGATGAAAGACAGGTTTTGGGTTTTCAAATCCTGCAAAACATCTCAAGCATTACTATGTAAAACTTGAGGTTAAAGATGGTATGCACAACTAAGCTAGGAGCTGGGGTGAGAGGCTAGGAGGCTGCAGAAGACTTGGACCCAGGGTTTGACACAGAAAACTGCCCTCAGTGCCTACAATAATTCTGTAGCAATGCAAAACTCCTTTCGCCAAATCAATGCTCCCCAGCAACCCTGATGACCAGACACCTGCTTAAAGGCCCCTGCACAAAGCAGCAGCCATTTCCAGTCTTAATTAACGAGACAATATGCCAATGATTTCTGAGTTATTCATGATCATCATCCATCTAGAAAAAGTGTCACTCTTGAAGATATTCTAAATTAGCAATTAAGACTTTATTCAGGACTACTGATTCCTCCCCCACCCCCAAAGCACAGTTTATAGTAAAAAGCTGTATAAAATCCCTACTTTTAAAAAGGAGTTAAGGATTGCTCTGATTTTAGAATCAGAGAGATATGCAAACAGTCAAAATTATTTGCTTTGAATGACTTCAGAAATTTGCAATCAAATTAAGAGGATATCCGTTCCCTAAACATGAATATAGTACTGTACATTTACATAAACCAGAGAGTTTCTGGCAAGTTTGAATGAAAATGGCCAAGAACCTTCTGCCTAAAAAAGGATAACCAAACTTGGTGTTAGTTCCCATTTAAAAGATTTTTCTGCCCAAATACCGCATTGTTCCTCATGTGGTCACATCACTTATTATAGTTTGTTTTCAAAAAGCCCCGAAATAATACATTGTAATTGTAAAGAAGTACAACTATTTTGCTCCAAAACTTCGAAACGCCTCAACAATCTAATTTGTGTTATAAGACATATTCTGCCAGAATGAACTGCACACAAAACTCATTCCATCGGTGAGAGCTGAAGGCGTCTACTTGACAAACACTGGCGACTCAGGTGACCGGCTTGTCAAGAAATAGCACTAGCATTTTTTATTTCTTGCCCTGTTTTCGTTTCCTTTCTTTTTAAATCAAGAGCAGTTCTTTATCCTGGACCAAAATATTTCTTCCTGAAGGTGAAATAGACAAGAACCGCGGTATCTTTTTCACTTAATACAGCTGGTGTCCTTCCCCCATTAATGCTCAGGTTTGCCTAAGGTGGCTTCTTTCTAAGCATAGTTTTCTGCCTAGAAATACAAGAATTTCGGGGATCCTGATATCGCATCACTGCCAGGAAACAACTTCTGTGACATTCTTAATATTCTTTCTTAGACCGAAAGTTCAAGTTTCATGTTCTGCTATAACCACTCTTTAGCACCCCCCGAATATTTTTTGGATTATAGCATGAAATTAGTTTTCAGCCATTCACGCCGACCTCTGCACCGGTAACCCCCATCTTTTCTTCCTCATCTTAAAGACAAGAGAGTCTTCGAGTGCTTGTAAATTATAAATGCACTCATTATTCAGGCTAGTAGGCGGCAGCCGGGTATCCCACTCACCGAAGCTCACTCACCGAGGCTCAGCAGTGCTTCAGTCGCGGCGGATACCTGAGACAGGAGGCGCAGTGATAGTCACCGCTGCCCGGAGCACTGCCCAGACCAATACTGGGCGCTAGGGATCCGGGAAGGAGGAGGAAGGGGGAGGAGTCGCGAGACTGCACCCCGTGAGACCCTTGCGCAAGGTGCTTTTCAGCTGCGCTTGGCTGCAGCAGGCGACCCGAGCGAAAGACAAACTCAATTGCACCCTAGAGTTCTCCCTTCTGCGGGAGCGGCCTCCTTTTCAGGGCTAGAATCCCGGAGGCACCCAGGAGGGGTGCGAACAGAGGGGCACCTCTGGGCCCCAGAACTCTAATTACCTACCGCCTCCGCGTGCCCCCGCGGTCCGAGAGCTCTTGCCGCGGTCCCTCGACGGTTCGGTGCACAGTTGGTGCACAGCTGGTACCCCTGAGCAGAGCGTGCTGGGGTACCGTGGTCCGGGAGGGACAGAAGTAGGAGCCAAGACAGCCGGCCCCAGAGAGTGGCGCGTCTTCCGGACGGCCGCGAACTAGTGCGCACAGGCCGCCCTCGTCCACCCTTGACTCACAGTATCTGAGAGGGCCGAGGGGCGGCGCAGCAGACACTAGCCGCCGCCTCCCCGCGTTTTCCATTTCCCCTTTCCTCCGTAAACAGAAAGACTGCTGGGTTACCGATGAAGCCTGAGCCCCCGTGATGGGAAATTCCGGGCCC